TCTTCTCGCGCACTGAATGAAGCAAATGGATCTCTTTGTAGTCGTGCTGTTTGATTGGCTGAAGGGGAAAAGTTGTAGTTTGTAGTTTGTGTTTGAGATACATCTTTTGTGACACCAGCCTTTCTGACACACCTGGTAGCTGATAAAGTGTCTTTTAGACCGTTAGATCCTGACCGATCCTGTCTCCATGTCGGGGGTATTTGCTGATTATGAGTAAATACTGAAGTTCCCACAGGGTTGTGAGGTGTTGTGCGTACATGTGTGCAACTCTCCCTTTGGACTTATGGATTCTGCTGCTGTTTGATGCTGATGAATAGACTCCTACAAACAGCTGGGAGCAATAAACTTCAGCAGCTGTTAATGTTTTGAAGTCTGTGTGCACAAACCGTGTCTTATTGCCGTCTGTAAACAGCCGACCGCTACGCGTAGCCGCTACAATATTCTGAAATGGTTTTCACTTGCTGTCGGACAACGCCGTAGCATTCACTGAAATATTGGTGAACGAGTTTGACATATTAAACCCGAGGTGGCTGCAGGACTTACCAATGAGATTTCACTTGTGTCCGTGGCCTCCTGCAACCCACAGAAAGCTGATGAGGCAAGCAGCTCACATTAACATGAAGATTGAGCCTTACAACAGGCATCAGTTCAGCTTGTTGGTTATAGTATTAGTCTGTTAGATTTCAGAACTTTTACATTTGTTTAAGGATCCTTTCAAAGGCTGAAAAGAACGAATTGCTTTTCTCTATCAAGGCTTTGAACAGCTGCGCTTTACAGACAAAAGCCTTGGAAAAACAGAAGACCCACAGTGTTGACCCTGTGAATTAGTGCGGTGCATTAAAAGAAACCTGGTAAAATGTTTCGAATAGATTTTCACGGTACCTGAAACCCACGATGAAGCTTCATCCAGGTTCCTGTAAACGCTATGCGGTGTTTACATGAGCCGAATAAAAGAGCAGATTTAAAGTCTCCATGTAAACTCAGTCGCAGATTACAGTCTGGGTTTAAGAAAACAAGGAAGGAATCCAGGTCATCCCTTAACCTTTATGTTGGAAGAAGCACAGAGAGAAAGAGTTGATTCACGGGCTGAAGATAAGAAAAAGAAACATCGCCTTAGTTCTCGACAACTTTCCTCTCAGCTCTCTTTATGCAGTGAACATTACTTCATTGACCCCTTTAGGATGACTATTGATGTTGTTAATGGTCGTTCTCAAAAACAAGCCCACGTTTATTTATTTCACAATTTTGTCTCGCCTGTCTGATGTCGAGTCTCTTCTGGCATTTTCTCCCTTTTCTTTTAAAACCTTCGAGTGTCCTTGTTTGCTGCACTCACGACTTCAGCTCCTCCACTGCCTGAGAATTTGTCTGAGACCTTCAGGTTTGCTCTTAATGTGTGCGCTGACACAGCCTCGCATTCCCAGCTAAGCCGAAACTTATTCCTTGACTCTGTGGCTTTCAAATGAAAAAAAAAAAAAAAAAAAAAAGCCAAGACAAAGTGACACTAAGATCGTGACAACTGCTCTGTGTGAATGGTGAGTCAGGTACGTTGCTCTCTCTGTAGGTTGAAACTTGTTTTTCTCTCTCTCTCAGCCACAGGAGACGATGGCTGCTTTCAACACATTTGTGAAATAAATAAAATAAAATTACAGGTCTTTGGTTACTTATTGTATATACTGGGGGGGGGGAGAATTGTGGCTCTAGATACTATAGTTATTTTACTACTTACATTTTTTAGTTTTTTCCCCCGCTTGTCTCATACAGTTATGCTCAAATGTATTCATACCCTCCATTAAAGAAAAGGCAAAATTCACAATCGCCACTCAAATAACTAGAAACTGAAAAAAGTAATAATAGATAAAAATTTGTTAAATTGTAATTTGGTGAAATAGGACATTGCTTTTGAATTGTGGTTGAAAAGAATAATTTAAAAAAACAAAACTGTCCCAGACATATTAGAGCACTTTGCTGATGAGCAGTGGACCAAAACCCAAATAGCTGTCAACAGGTGCAGAAGTCTGATTGAGAGTTACAGAAACACTTGATTGCAGTGATTGGCTCAAAGGGTTGTTCAACAAAATATTAGTTTACGGGTCCCATCATGCTTGTTTGCTTGTGTGTGTGTTATATATATAAATATATATTTCTGTTGAACCACAATTCAAAAGCAATGTCATGATGTTCATTAATGTTTTATTTAATATTAATTTTGTCTATTTCAACTTATTTCAGTGGCAGCTTTTCCCCCCCCCTCTTCTTAAATGGGAGGGTATGAATACATTTGAGGACGACTGTATCTTCAGTGTAAACACAGCCTTCAGTTCAACCTAGTTTGACAGCAAACTTCCTTGATTCTTTTCATGTAACTTTGTGTCTGACCTGAGTCACTAATGGCTTCTTAGTGGTGCCAGGAAGTGTAGATTTTTTTATTTTGAAATTATTTTTACAAAACCTGATTAGATGAAATTCTGTATGTTTGGTGATTTTTTACAATTCTACAATTTCATTTAGCAGATGCTTTTATCCAAAGCGACGTACATCTGAGGGTGGATACAACACAAGCAAGTGCAAGTCAAGTGCAAAGGTGTCTTTTCTTAAAGACTGAGAGGGAGTCAGCAGATTAAACAGAGTTTGGTAACTCGTTCCACCAGCGCGGAACCACAGAGGAGAAGAGTCTCGCTATCGACCTCGGGCCCTGTTGCGGTGGTTGCATGAGGCAGTTTTTGTTGGTCGAGCGTAGTGAGTAGGAGGGAGTGTGGATCTGAATGAGAGAGTTCAGGTAGGAGGGAGCTGTTCTCGTTATGGTTTTGTAAGCAAGTGTCAGAGTTTTGAATTTGATGCGGGCAGCAAATGGAAGCCAGTGAAGCGGTCTGAACAGCGGGGTGACGTGTGCTGTTTTTGGCTGGTTGGAAACCAGACATGCTGCTGCATTCTGGATCATCTGCAGAGGTTTGACCGATGCGGGGCGGCCTGCCAGTAAGGAGTTGCAATGCGTGATATTATTAGAGCTTCTACTAGGAGTTGTGCTGCATGTTCAGACAGGAAAGGTCTGATCTTCCTGATGTTGTACAGGGCGAATCGACACGACCGAGCAACAGAAGCCACATGAACCTTGAACCTTTTTAAATGAGACCCATAGAATAAAGAGATTTATTTTAATTTAATTTTATTTTAAGGATACTCAAAAACTCTTTGCAAATACCAATCTGTCCAAGAGCAGAGCACGTTTGTACTCACTCTCTTCTTTCAAAGCTCTCCAACAAGAACATGCTGCACCAATCATAATTCATGTTAGTTCTTCAAGTTGCTTTTTTTTTTATTTTTTTTTTTAGCCCAGTTTATTTTTTTAAAATCTGGACCATCAGAAACTTTTCTTGAATGCTTCCTAGGTTTTTCTGTCACAGGCGTCACTATGAAATGTTTCATCCAGCACTGACCAGTTTTACATGCTTTTAGGATAAAGAGGCCATAGTTTGCCCTCTTTCCAGTGGATTATGTGCTGTTTTAGCTGTTTCTTCCCATCTCAGCTTCATATATGAGAGCTGCAATTCCCCTATATGACCTCCAGACCTCTCTGTCCTCCATTATTAGACACCTGACTGTGCTCACTTATTGTCCAATTTCCAGGGCTGATCATGCTTTTGACCTTGTGGACAGCTTCACAAACTGACCACCATCTTGTTAATTCTCCTGTCTTTCCATTTCTTTTAGTACATCAGACACATGTCACACAGGCAGACTGTCTTGCACCAGTTTAGATAATGTTTCCTGACCCAAACCTCTACAAAGCCTTTTTCTCCCCCCCCACCCTCGTCTCTGAGAGTCATTTTCAAATTGGTGCAAATGGATCTCTATTTCTTTTTCAGCACCTATGGGTTTTTTCCCCCACTCCTCTTGAGCTCCTGCCTCTGCGACAGAACAAGTCAATGCTCATTCTTGCTCCCTGACTGAGAGATGGGTTAATATCCAACTATCGGCAGCACCGCTGAATACAAAATGATGGAGCTTTTAGCTACTTAGAGTCACAGATGTTGCCTCATTGTGAAATATATAATGTATATACAGATCATACACCGACTCTCCAAGGAGATGATTAAGATATGAACTTGGAAATAGTTTTGCAGCTGAAATAGATTGCAGCAGGTTTCCATAGACAAGAGACCATTTACAAAAGGATCAAATCCCCACAATGCATCACTTCAGACTTCAATGTAAATGTAAATGTGTAATTCCCAGGCCGGTGTCCATCCCCTTTCCCCCCCTCTTTGTTCTGCACATCCCTGCCTTATTATCTGCTGTTTCTCATATAAATTATTTATATGCTTGTATTAACCTCAAAATATAATAAAAATGGTCCACTGTCATTTATCCATCCTCGCTGCTCTTCCACTGGAGAAATAATTTTAGGTTTCTCTGGTACCGTCTTTTGCATATTTCCTGTCTTGCCATGTGTTACATCTAAATCTAGCAGCTCGTTTTCTGCATCAGTCACAAAGTGCTTAACAATAGAGGGCAGAAAGTAAGACCGCGTGCAGGTGCAGAGGTTAAAAATCAACCTCTTATCACAGCACCAGGGTCACGGTTTTGACCTGTTTCCAGGCTTCAGGCTTTACTAAGTTAATGGGTTTCATATTCAGTGGAGCTTAGAGTCATGAAGAAAGTGAATAAGTGCATTCCTCAAAATGTTTAACTAATCCTTCAAATTGTGTAAACAAATTTTTGTTTTTTAATGTCATTACTGCTGTACCTTTCCATATATGTGTTTTGGGGTTTGTATCTAAAACCTGAACTTACCGTTGTTGAACTCTTTTACCTTTTCATATTTCCACCCCTTGAACAGTCAGTAAAATTACCCCCAAGCCATTTGTGCGCACTCAGCTTTTTTTTTTTTTGTTGCACTCATTTGGGTTTTTGCACTTCAGCGAGTCAAACATCATGTTAGAGAGCCAGGGAAATGTGGCCCTTCAGAGATGGAGGATGCACTTTCAACCCCGCATGTATCGATGGCAGCACGAAAGAGGGTGAGTTTACAGATAACGACAGCAAAAAAATAAATAAATAAATAAATCTTCACCACACATAATCTTGTTTATTTTATCTTCTGTACGATAAGGACAGCTTGTTCAGCCGCTGGGGTCAGGGTGCAGGGTCGGCCGCAGCAATGTGCCTGGAGCAGAGAGGCTCAAGGGCCTCGCTAAAGGACTCGACAGTGGCAGCTTGGCGGTGCTGGGACTTGAACCCTTGACCTTCTGATCCACTGATGAGCCAAATAAGTGTTAAAGATGTTAGAAATGGCCCTTAAATACCTCCATCCATCCATCCATCCATTATCTATACACCGCTTAATCCTCACTAGG